AAAAAGTTTAATGTGGCCCCCGCTTTTTGTTTTTGTAAACAAAATTTTTTTTTTTTTTTTTTATGTTAAATTCTCTAATTTTTGTTAATTGTTAAATAAATAAACTTGACAGTGCAGTAAATGTTTGTTTGTTATTGCCGTGTTGCTAATTTTTATATTTTTATTAATTTTATCGTAAAATAGCTTCCCCCTCCCCTCCCGACAGCATTTTTTTTTTTTTTCACACTTTACTATAACATAAACATGATATGAACCTATTTTATATGGTTCTTATCATTATATAAACCTATTATATATGGTGGATAACTTTTCTTCCTCAAACTTTCACTCGGAATTGATAGTCAAATCATCGCGATTTGTGTTATCCTAAAGTTTTCGGAAGCACTTGCAATTATAAACTCTTATAAAGCTATGTTAAATATAAAAAAAATCTATTTAGCTATTTATATTTTAACTCAAAATAACTGCTGTTAAAAGGATGATGGCGAAAGCTAAAGTTTTTCATCAGAAGATATCTCTGATCGCTCTGAAGACATCTCTGATTGCTCTGAAGATTTCTCCTCTGTGTCAACAATATCAGTAAAATTAGAAAGTTCAGCTGGAAGTAGCATCTCCAAGGTCTCTTTTAAGATTGGTTTAGCATTTTTCTTGGTAATTTTTTTATGCCAGTTATAATAAAATCTGAGCTAATTAGTAACCCATAAAGAACGTCAAGATTGCAAGACTCTCTGGAAAACTTTCTAGCATTTTTTGACGGTGAGGTATTTATTTCGTGCTTCAGCTGCTTCTTTAAATAGCTGACCAATAGGAAGCAAAGCATGCTCTAATACAATAAAATCATGAATAAGGATTTTATGCATCGGTTACCATTAGATTAATTGGACATATGATTCCGCAGTTTTAACAGTATATCTTCTAAATTTTTCGACATCTATTTTATGTTTACTAGATATTGTTTCTAATATTACTTTAAGGCGGTATATTTGGTTATAATCTATAAAAAATATTTCAGTTCCCAACTCTGGGTCTTCGAAAAAGTCGTGGGCTAGTGTTGCCATCATTTGAGTTACTAAATCCAGGCTTAGATACGTCTACAATTAAACCTTTTTTTTTCTAAAATTTAATTGTAATTCTATTTTTTTTTTGTTTGACAATTAATTTTTAATTTTTTGATCTCGTTTGCCATTTTTTATTAGCAATTTATAAGATAGATGCAATAAATTTTCAAATATTGGCATGCAAAACTGATAACCCATACATCAGTGTATCTGGTTTGACATCTTTTTCAATAGTCAAGTTATTAAAACGTTTTGATGTTGCACCACAAATATAGCATCTCATAGTTGAAGCTGTATTAGTGGCTGCGTTACACACCTTGTTTAACTGAAAATAAATGTTTAACTAAAAATAAATTCCTGCCCACTGTCGATTTTGTATCATGCAAAGAGATAATTGAATTTTCAATAAGTTTTATCTCTTCATTTGTAATATCATTAGATTCTTTGACAAATCTAATTCTTATAGGGCGACAATAACGTGGCGAAGAAGGAGTTGGATTTTGCCAGATCAATCTGTTGTTTTTAGTACAAGTTAATTGAAGCGGTATAAAAGAACTCTAAAATATACTTGCATCAGAATCGGCGTGATTCAGAAATTTCTGTTTATATTGATTTTGCTGTGATCCGTCACAACCCCATTTACAATTTAATATTAATGAACTTCTTTTTTTTTTGTTTAAATTTTGTATCACTTTTTCTAAATACATGGCCAATCGTGTAACGGTATGGTCCAATAAATCTTGTAACTTGACAGAAATGTAAGTTTCAGTGACATAATAAGATTCCTTATTTGGATAAAATCTACTTTTGCCTTTTGCAGGATACTATAGCAAGGATATAATGTTTTACAAGAACTTCTAACAATTTCATATTGTCTTCTGGAAAGACCAGCTTCTACAAACATAGCCAGTGCACTTAATACCAATAGCTGTGATTTTTTTTCATGTAAAACGCTAGAGTATGCTATCTTATACATTCTTGCCCGCTTTAGGGAATGGATAATGTCCTTTAATGTTTTTGAAGCAGTTCTTTTTCCTGTAACACCTATATCCACCTGAGCAGCACAAATCAAAGTTTTTGAATTTGTGGTAGCACAAACAGATAACACGCGAAATTGTTTTCTGTTTTTCTACTTTTGCTTTTTTAAAGTTCTTTGTTGGCCTACCCCCCTTGATGCAATACTGCAGGTATTGCAATATTTCCATCTAGCCAATCACTGTTTTTTATTAAAAACAAATTTTTTTTCCTCTTTGCTATTGATCATCTTTGTTTTAACTCGTAATTAAACTGCGATAAACTATGTTTTACTTCTTTTATTTGTTCGTCTGAGTAATTATCTTTTGCTAATACGTAATTTTCAAAAAATTTTAATTTCTCATTCATATTTGATAAAGTTTGGCTCTGCCTTAGATCAAAAAACATTCTTCGGGTCATTTCCCTCACATCAGATAAACTCTGTTTAAAGTTAAAATATACCTGAACATGAAGTTTAGTGTTTTTTTTATTAAATAAATTATTTTATAGTTTCGATAAAATATATAATACTAATCGTAAACCTTTACTTTAATAATTTACTTTCTTTAAAGTACACAGAGAAAAAAATAAAAAATAAATAAAAATTTATGCAGAAACAACAACCACCCTGGTCTTTTCCTATCATACACTTAAGAACAGGAAGAGGGAATAAACAAATACGGAGAACAAAATGGCAAAAAACGGCAGGTGATTTTACATATCATTGAAGTCAAAACCTTAGCCTATCTGTTAATAAAAAAACAGCAACCTGGAAATGCTTGAAAATATTACTAATTACTTATAGTTTGCAGTGAAAATTGCAAAAAGCAAGAAAAAGAATAAAGTTTTTACAAAACCAAGATACTTATACATAATTACAAATAAACTAATTAAAACTTTTAAAATGTATTTGCATTTACCAACTTCATTAGAATTCATTACAAAACACTTTGAAATATATTTTGATTAAACTTTATTTGATGATGATAAATGCTTAAAAAATAAGCGACCAAAACGCGTAAACAATAATTAATGATCAACTTTGTATATATCCTACGGCTTGTTGTTAAAACCATTTGCGGTTACTTAATGTTTATGACATTCACCAACCATTTAGCATTGCTAAAATAACCTTTTTAAATCATTTTGGAAGTTCTAAAAAATTGAGTTTTGGCGGCCTAAATCAATCAAATACCCCACTGCGCGACGTCTGCAAATCTTTTTTCACAAAATAACATATAGTATAATAATTATATAACTAATTTTGTATATCGCCCTAACGTTTTACGCATTATTAAATTGTTGTTACAAATTTTTGAGAAAAAAACTTATAGAGAAAAAAATAATGATGATAAATATAAGATCTTATTTATTTAATATACATAATTTCTCCGTTAGATATAAATATTACAAACGCTAAACATGAACCAAAAATCTAGACATTAAGTTTTAAATAAAAGATTTTCCCAAATATTTATGGAGTAGTTTTGATATTGGCTGAGCTACTTGTTATTGAATAGCATTTAGCTAATGATATTTGTAATGATATTTATAATGATATATGATTTATATATTACTTGGACTTCAATGATTGCTAATCGTTAAATAATAATTGCATATCTTCATTGTTTACAACTTTATCTTTTGAATTACAACTTACCATTTAATAACTTCTGCACATTCAACTTCTTAGAGGAAATAATCAATATCTTCAAAGAGTTTAGAGATACAAGTAAATCCCTAGGTTTACTAAGTCTTTTTGTATTTATATATGAAATTGAGGAAAAATCATTACTACAATAATTTGGAAAATCACCAACACCAAAATATATTCAAATGTTTTTGTCTCTTTATTATTTAATATGAATGACAATTTATATCAGGGTCTAACAATCCTAAATTACTTTTATTTAAGTGTTAATGCAGACTCTTCAAAAAGGTTATTTAGGGGCCATTAATAATAATGAACTAATATTTATAATTTAAAAAAATGGAAAGATAATATTAAAAAAAAAAAATTATTTTGAAAAACGAGATAAATTTTAAAAAATGTTATGCAATAAGTTTTGAAAATATACCTAAAAAATATTCCCAAACTAAATTGGCTGATATTGGCTCGTTAGAGCAACGACATAAGTGTAAAAAAATATTTTTATTGCAAAATATTGGGTAGATACTACATTGGCCAAATGTTTGCCCAACATTCTATATTTTATAAAATGTTGGGCAAACATTTGGCCAACATTTTATAAAATATAAAATATATTGGATATTTTCAAGAAACCAATATGGAGAATAAAAATATTAGGTAAAAAACATTGGCCAAATGTTTTTTTGTTGGCTCAACAATATTTTGTTGGCTCAACAATATTTTGTTGGCTCAACAATATTTTGTTGGCTCAACAATATTTTTTTTGTTGGCTTGTACAATATTATGTAAAAGCAGATTTGGAAAATTAAAATATTACGCCGAAAAAAATTATTGGCTAAATGTTGGCTCAACGTAATATAATATTTGCGAAAAACCGATTAAGAGAATTGAAATTTTACACGGAATAAAATATTAGCTAAATGCTGGCTCAACGGAATAAACTTGCGAATGTTAAAATTTACGTTGGGTCAATGTAAGTTTACTATCTGGGATATCATATGTATATATCTAGCATATGCAAATAAATTTAAATTAAAAAGATACTACTGATTACAATGGTTTGGTATTGTTATGTTATATGTTACGTTTCGGTTATGTAAAAATATGTTTTGTCTTGGGTACGTAAAAACAACGGTTATTTTGTACATAACCTTACAAATCTTGATTACGGTTAATTACCTAAAGTAGATTAAAATGTTGTAAGGATACAAAATTTGTTAACTTATATTATTTTTTTTAATTATTAATTTAATCATGGGAAGTTTTTTCAAACTTAGATCAAAAGAAAGTTTTTCAAGCGTTATGCTTTATGGGCTCTATGGAGTTGTTGGTACTGGAGTTGCGCAATTTTTACCCAGCTTTTTAGCAACTTCCAGAGACTATGGTAAAATTGTATATAATGTTTTGTTTCTATTTGTTTAAACTTTTGTTTGAATGTTTCTTTGGCTTGGAAGCAAAAAAGGAAATATATATATTATAAATATAAATAGCCTTAAATAATCTCTAACGCTGTCATAGATACCTCATTCGAAATATGATAACCAATCAAAAGTGTAGGAAAATGAGCAACCCGTAAAACCCAAAATCATTACATTAATTGAATAATATATGATAGCAAAAAGCACGTTTTACAAAAACCTTAAAAATATAAGCGGCATATATGTAAACATTTTATGAAGGGTATAAAAATATTCTCTGAACAATAATAAAGATGAAAATTGTGCATGTGAAAATTAAAACAAAGCTGAGTAATGAATGCAAAATAATGTAACATGAAAGTTCCTTGTAAACATTTATAATATGAAAATCAGGAGATAAATAATATAATAAAAAATATTGCATTAAAAATATAGTTATAAATAAGATTGCAATAATTATAAATCATACTTTATAAACAAATACTTAATTATAATTCTAAAATAAATACTTAATCATGGTTCTAAATAAATACTTCTAAAATTAATTGTTTTTATGAAAAATTGTGCTATGTTATATTGAAAGTATATGTATATATATCTATATCTATATATATATATATATATATATATATATATATATATATATATATATATATATATATATATATATATATATATATATACATATATATATACATATATATATGTATGTATATCAAAAATACATATGTCAAAAAATATATATGTCAAAACTTAACTTTTCTTCCTACGTTTAAAGTCTTTGAATAAAGTAGACTTAGTTGCAAATATATGTGATATATAATTTCTTAAACTCGGGAGTCTTTTTTTTCGACAGCTGGACAACACAACCCAGTCACGAATTTGATATCATATGGATATCAATATGATATCAAACTTTGATATTTATGATATCAATATATGATATCAATATGATATCAAAATGAAATCACTCGTTGAAATCATTCTGAACTCAAAACCTGATATCATACTATGAGAAGTTTGTGATATCAATAAGATATCAAAATGAAATCGCTCATTGATATCATTCTGAAATCAAAGGCTGATATTATAACATGAGAAGTTTATGATACCAATTTGATATTAAAAAATAATCAATCATTGATATCATTCTGAACTTAAAACCTGATATAAAATGAGCAGTTTATGATATCAAAATGAAATCACGTATTGATATCATTACTATTATTTACTTAATAATTATTTTGATTATAAAAACACTTTTTCAAAGTGAGGAGGGCGGGGGGAGGGGGGGCAAACTCGCTCATTAAAAGAAATTGCCTATTTCGTACAAAAATTTAGTTTATAAAAAATAGGTCCTTGAAAAAGCGGGTGTAGTAAAGTAAGGGATTATAGTAAACTTTTAAAGGGGGTAAAGTAACTGAGTTTATTCAAGGTAAATGAGTAAAAGCATAAATATTGACTTATCAAAAAAATTGAAATCAAAATAATACAAAGAGGCATTAAAATTTAATTACAAATAAATTTACAAATGTTGAATGTTCCATTTTTAAAATCATTAAAGCACTTTATAGCTCATTTAGCATCTAACGAATACCAAATATGGTTAGTTAACTTGTAAAGCATTTCAACTGTGCACAAGTGATAAAATAACTGCTGCTGCTAGATTATCAGGTTCAAAAAGAGACAGCGGTATTCTTATGGCCTTTGATACAAAATCATCAAAAGGTATATACAACATTTCTGTATGCTTGTTGTTAACCTTGTAAATACCAACAAGTTTAGAATTACAAGGAGAGCTGAATAAATTTTCTGTTTTGATATAGACTTGACCAAGAACACTTTTAGCATTACTATTTATTGAGTCAATGACACAAAAATTTCCGCTCTTCAGACGATAGCATTCGTTGATCTTTGGATTAAAATTTAGCTTTTTTTTACAGACTGCTGACCTGTTATTGTTTATTTCTGTGAGTCGTCCAGCAATCTGAGCTACTACTTTAGAAGGACCCCGTATCATTCTTTTTATAGCTGACATATTGTTTTCAAATGGATAGGCTGTCACTCCATCTAAACAACCATATCTCTCTGCTGTTAAAGTTAAATGGCTTAAACAATGAAAATTATAAGTTAATAGATGATCGGAGTAGAGCAGTCTGGTGTTGTCCACAAAGCTACTAAGAAACTCTTGAGCATAACCTTTATACTCAGTCATCAAATCTTTGCTGTATAAGATCAAAATAGCTACACTTAAACAAAGAAAGTGGTTGTATTTTTCTTTGCTGAGTATATATTTCAAAACTACTGGTCCACAATATAAAAGAAAAGTTCTAAATTCAGAGGCTTTCCATAACTTGAGATCTTTCAAACTTCTTGGTTTCATTTAAATTCTATTTTGAATGTATTTTTTTAAAGAACATAAGTAAGTGCTTAATAAAGTAATTTGCCCTGATGACAATCGAAAAGGAAGCGGGCCTTCCTTCCAAGTTAACAGTAGTTTTTTAGTACAACCTAGGTCCACACAATGCATCACGTCAAGAGGGAACTGTTGTACCATGTCTATTTCAAGTGATTCCAAGACACTGATATACTTGTGATGACTTTTCTGAATTTTTTCTCTAAATGTCTGATCAGTGCGCTGAGTACCAGTGTATAAAAACATCATTCGACCATCATAAGTTCCTTTTACATTACAATAATCACAACCATAGCGACCATTATAGTGAGCAATGCCTTTAATCAAAGCTTTTGCTGGCGCATCGCAGATAAAATATTTCGTATTTACTTGTATGGTTTTTCCATTATAATCATTAATGCCATTTGCCATTAGGAATTTTAACTCTAAAGTAAACTCTTCCAAGAATTCCAAACTAGTTGGCTTCTGTACACCGCAAAACAACGCCACACTAAATGGACTGTTTTCACGCACATTATCAACACGACATTGAATTGGCCAGAGGCAAGCATTTGTACTTTTATGGATAGGGAGGCCATCAATGTTGAATACTAACTCAACAAAATCTAGATCTTTTTTAAAAATAGTTCTCAAAATACCATCTTTTAATCCAAAGTAGGTATAATCACCACCTGAAAGACAAAAGTTAGTTCTTTTATATTACTACAAAAAAATACATGTGAAATATATTTTTATCAACTAAAGAAATTCGACTAAGCAAATATAACAATAACTATATAACTATAACTATATAACTAAGAAATATCAAGTAAAATTCAATGTCTTTAACTTAACTATTTAATACTACAATGTCTAACTAAATTAAATATTTAATATGATTTAGATATCAAGAAAAAAATCTACATTAGGGTTCAACAAAAAAATTCTTGAAAGATTTACAGACCTGACTTTTGAATAATATCTAACTTGCGAGGCGTTTTTAATAGCGTTGTAGCTTGTGTTGGCAGATCTACACTAAAGTGATTATGCAAAACTTTTAATAATGATGTTAATGTTGCTAGAGGCACCGAACATTGCACAGCCCATTGGGCTAGATCTTCTTTAAACGTCAGGTCATTACTTTCATCGTTATTGCTTAAGTTATCAGTAAAAAGGTCTGCGGCCTTTTCTACTGCATTTATTGATTTCCATGCAACAGAGTCATCTATGTCAAAACAGCCAAAACCTTGAACATTATGAAACTCTTCCTTTGACGGTAACAAATCACTTCCTGATAAAACACTAGAGCTTACATAACTTTGTTCATAGGAATGGGGATACAAAAGTTTGCTTACAGATGGTATTTTCTTTAAGTTATCAAAAGCCTCAACTTTTTCACCTTCAGTACCAATATATGGGATATTTATAAACTGTTCAAATTTATAAGTCTTTCTACGAGCATATTGCTGAGTCAATTGTGCTCTCTTTCTGCTTTTGGAACTCATTTTTATTCAAATCAATATGACTGAAAATAAAATAAAACAAACATAAACATGGAAAAAACAAGTTGAAGAAAAAAAGATAGATAACTTTTTTATTAATTTATTACTGCTCTGTTCTTGAAATATATTATATATATATATATATATATATATATATATATATATATATATATATATATATATATATATATATATATATATATATATATATATATATATATATATATATATATATATATATATATGTATACTGCGAAATTCAGTAGACTTCAGGTCAACAAGAGTGCTGTTCTTAGCTGAGGTTTGAATAAATTTGAGAATTTTAAAAAATTTATAATAAAATTAAAAAATATTTATATGTAATTATATATATATATATATATATATATAAATATATATATAATTAATTTCTATGTAATTATATATATATATATAATTTTGTAAAAGAATAAAAAGAAAACAACCTAAAATTAATAAAAACATTATACAAGTACATAAATTTGAATAAAAAAAAAAATATTAAATAGGTTGTTACAAAAAATATGGAGCTGCTTAAAAATATTGCAAAGACTATTAGGGCGTTTTTTTTTAAATAATATAAAATAAGATAGACTTATATTACTAAAATATATAAATAAATAAGATAAATAAGATAAACTTATATTACTACAATATATGGTCATCAGAATCTGATTTATCAAATACAGGCTTATCTTTAAGTTTTGCTTTAATTCTGCATTTAGCATTAGAAAAATATAGTTCAATTTGCTTTTCTGTTTCTTTTTTTATTGTGGTTTCTAATTCTTCCTTCCCACGCATAACTGTAATTTTTTCTTTCTCGTAAAAAGACTTGATAGTAGCTGAAATTTATATAAGTTTTGAAGAATATACTTATAATTTCAGTAAATTTTAAAATAAAAATATTCCAAAATTATAAGAAAAAAATAATTAATAAAGCAAAATAATAAAACTTATAGAAATATTAACAGTGAATATATGCATCATACTTTGTTATAGAAAAAAAGCAGACGCAATTTTAAGTTGTAAACTTACAGTAAATACACCGTTCAAATACAAGAGGCAGTTTTTCTTGGCCCCTGGAGCCTGTACGATTAAACAAAGTCATTAGATTATCTGATAAAGATGCTCTTAATATTGATCTAACACAAGTCCCAATTGATTTTTGACCATAGTTAATAATCATGAACTTTATCTGAAAAAAAAAAATAATAATTTGGGTATATGTCTAAACATTGTAAAAAATATGTCTAAACATTGTAAAAAATATTTATTTACAGTCAAAACAGAAAGTTTAAAATCATTTAAAAAACATAAACCAAATTGTATAAAAGGATAAAACCTTAAGTTTAATGGGCTGCATATTTAATGCTAGCTGCTTTTTATATTGGAACTGTAGAGTACTCAATTTAAAAATAATTAATTGGTATACTTACCACTAACTTTCGAAACACAGAATCCTCTTCTAGCATTTTACAAAAATTATGGAAAGTATCACTAGTCTTGTATTGCTCCATTACAAACATTTGGTCTTGATTGTCCTCCGCTATATTTCCTACTAGCGACAATTTGATCTTGCACAAATCATCTTCTATTCTACAAACTCTTAAAGTTAGTTCTTTAATGCTTTGATATGACTTTAGAGTAATAACTAAATAATATCAAAAGCAAATAAAAAGATGAAATTAGAAAATACCCCCTTTCAAAAAAAAATAATAATGAATGTTTGGTGTTCTCAAACATCTTTAAGAACACCAGTCTCAAAATTGGTCTGAATACACCACTATTAACATAAAAATATACTTTGTGGAGAAACATAATAACATTGTACAAACCATGTAATTTCTTTAACAGTGACTGCAGTGAATTGTCATCATTTACAGAAGAGTCCTTTAAATTTAAGTCATCTTGTTCTGAAATGTCTGACAACTCAAAGTTGGTCAATTCCAAACTGCGTGCTATATCAAAGATAATGATTAAAAAATTTTTATAAATTAGGGGATTGAAAATAAAATATTTTTATAATATCAATATAAGTAGAGTAAAACGAGGTAAAACAGGGTAACACTTATATTTGTAATTAACTTTTTTCATATAATAAAATGATTTATTCAATAATTTTTTTTTACTTTTTGTTGAGAAAAATGAGCTCTATTCGAATATGTTAAAAAAAAAATCATTGAAAGTTTTTTAGTAAAATGAGTTTATTTGAAAAAAAAAAGTGTTCAATTTTACCTTACAAATCAGGTAAAACTGAACCTGTTAAAGTATTGGTAATTTAGTCTAATTAATTATAATTTTAATTTACTGATTTAGATCTGAACAGGAAGTTATTAAAAGTATATTATAGCAAAGATGTGAACAGGAAATTGTTAACTTATAGGAATACTATTAGAGAAGACATTCTTAGGGCTATTTCACATCTATCAATATTCTTATTCAAAATGCTTAAGATCAATTATGAAAAATTTATTGTGTAGTAAAGGTACAGGTAATAAAACTAATAGTTTTTAACCTTCATGTCTTGGTTGCATAATAGTACTTGAAACTTTAACTTCATTTGCGCTTACAGATTGAAGGGATTCTTTATCTTTCATTGTCATTAGGCTTGCTGTAGGTTGGTTTTCTTTTAAAAGCACTATAATTTTAGAGAGTTCCTTATCTATTACCTTTAAATCATTTTTAAGTAATGACACATTTTATAAGGAAATCTTGCTTAAATAGTAACTTAGTTATTTTGAAATAAGTGTAAAAAAAAATTTACGTGGAAAGTTAGGAAGTGATTTCAATTTTATTTGTTGTGAATTCTTGCTGCAATCTGATTGTTCGCCTAATAGAAAAATTGAACTGAATTTAAAGTTATATAACTATTTAAGATACTTACAGGTAAAAGGACCTCAGAATGCAGTGGGACCTCAGAAGGTCAGGTTTTAAAAAGGCAAAATTGAGTGCAGTTTTTTTCATTAATCACTGAAAGTGTTGAATAATCTGAATAAAGAATGTATTGTTAAGTTAAAAAGAAAAAACTATGTGTAATTCTTAAAAAACATAATGATATGTTCATTCTAGAAGGAATCAGATAAATAAAAGAAATTGTTAACCTTATCTTTTATTATATTCAAAATGAAACTATTTTGTTGGTCCTATTGAATAAATTTGTTTGACCATTATTGAGTTTGAGCCAGTATTACCTAAAACATTATGACAAAATGATTAATGAAAATAAAATAAAAAATGAATAAATATTTTAAGCAGAAATTATCTAAACAATATTGGCAACAATACTACCAATAATTTAACCTAATATTTTAAGGTCCATGAAAAAAGTGACTATTTATTAAAAGTATTTTGAGCTCAGCAGGATCTCAAAAAACACCTAGCAATCTGAGATCTTTTTAACTGTTTATACAAACATACAATTTTCCTGATTCATATATTGATAATAACTTATTGACAATCACAACAGTAACAAGTTCAATTAATTAAAGGTTTAATAAATATATTGCAAAATATATATTGAATAGAAACATGATTTAAACTGAACAATTGATTTTTAAACTTAGTATTGAGGAAGTAAAAATTATCTATACAAAAATGTAAGGAAAAATCCTTTATGTTAACCATAAAAATGTAAAAAAAAAAAACTTTATAAAAACTCTTACTGTCATCACTTTCACTATAATCTTTATAGAGAACTGTTTCTTGTTCTAATTTTCATTATTTTCTTTCCAAATTCTTCAGAGCTATTACCTATATTTGGCGGCGTTCTTAATCTTTTTTTGTAAGGTGTAGCACCAAGCGGTATTGTAGCTGAAGTTATAGAATTTTCAACATCAGTCAGTGTTACCGCTGATCCATCAGACTTGCCAGATTGGTCTGCTTGAATATTTTCTGCTTTGTTAAAGGTATCTTAGGAAAAATTTAAAAGGTGTGTGATTTCAGACAATTTCTTTTAAGATAAATTTCAGAAAATTTATCTTAAAAGAAACACAACAAATTAAAGTCATATAAACCTGTCTTAGCATAAATTTTTGTAATTTCATACTCTCTCCAGTTTGGATTAAATATACTGTAGTTTTTAGTTTTTTCCAAGGAGGAAGTCCATCGGCATTTCCATATTCCACAAACTTTATACAACCATGGCCGCGGAATAATGGCAATGTGCCCAGTGTGGAGAGCACAAACAACAAACTTTAAAAAAAAAAAGAAATTTCTCTTGAAAGATTTATGAACAAAACTGATTTAATAATTTTTATTATTGATTTATAATAACTTTGTTCATTCGATATTTATTTTGTTTATAATAATAATAATAAAAATAATAATAATAATAATATATATATATATATATATATATATATATATATATATATATATATATATATATATATATATATATATATATATGTATATATATCTATATATATATATATATATATATATATATATATATATATATATATATATATATATATATATATATATATATATATATATATATATATATATATATATATATATATATATATATATAATATATGTGTATGTGAATTCCCTGACCTAGTTGAAAAGACACTTTTGCCTCTGACTTTCCGACTGTATAAAACCTGTACTATTTTGATTACAGACTATATAGAGTCTGTGATAGAAATAGTACATGTGTATAGTATATAGTAAAAATAGTACAGGTCAATAATAATATTTTTGTCATAGACTAGACTATGACAAAAATATTATTATTGATAAATAATATTATTAACATTATCATTAATAAACAATATTATTTATCAATGATAATGTTAATAATATTATCAAAAAATAGAAAATAAAAATAGTCTATTTCTATTTTCTATTTTATGATAAATATTAAACGAAAATTAACATTTTCTATTTAATAGAAAATGTTAATAAGAGAAACTGCAGTAGTGCTACACTCTAAAAAAAAAGGTTGAAATTTCAACCTTAGGGCAGGATATGTGATATACCTTTAGTAAGGTATAATTTTCTACTTTTTAAGGTAGAAAATTATACCTTTAAGGAAGATAATAGTCTGACAAATCATTGTTTATAATATAATTTTCTACCTTGAAAAGTAGAAAATTATACCTTACTAAAGGTATATCACATATCCTACCTTAAAGTAGAAATTTCTACCTTTTTTTTTTAGAGTGTAAGTAATGTATAATGACAATATTTTTTCATCAATGATAATATTATAACTTTATTTAGCGCTAAATGTTATACCGGTTTGAAACATAGTCAGTTAATAAAATAAACTAAATGGTTTTATTTGGAGCTTTAACATAACTACATAAAAATAGAAAATATAAATAATATCTTATTTATATTTTCTATTTTTAATAACTCTTTATGATAAAAAGTTTCTTCCTGATTAAGAATCATATTATAGGTGTGTCTAAAAAAATAAACAAAGTTATTTAATTCAATTCTAAAGCTTTAAAAATTACACTAAAATTCGAATAGTCGACATCTTTTTTATGTCTTCCTATATAATATTATTTACACTCGGTTATGATAAAGCTCCAAATAAAATCATTTAGTTTCTTTTATAAACTGTTTCAAACCGCCCTATTGGGTTTGAAATTATCGGCTATATAAAACAATTGGCTGCAGCCAAATATATATTTTACTTATGAAATATCATGAATGTCATCAAGTAGAAAGTATCATGAGGATTTAGTCGGCATTGGCTTTAGTTAATAATGAAAACTTGGCTTTAGTTAATAATGAAATTTACAGCCATATATGGCTCATGATACTTTCAACTAAGATAATTCTTTTTTTTTTTTTTTATACTATAAAAAAAATAAAAGAATTTTTAGTTGAAAGCATTATGAACAGTGCCGCAAATACGGGCCCGCAGGGAGGGGGCAGGAAAAAAGAGGCCCATTTTCAAGCTAATTTTAGGTTGTATGTGGGATGTGGGTCCCATTTTGAAAATTTGGCGCGGGGGGGGGGGAAATTTGAAGTTTCGCTACTGATTATGAATCACCAAGCCCTTCTATGTACCAAAAAACAACATTAAAAAACAACCTGTTATTATAATAACTATAAATTATGTTATTTTTTGCCACAGCACTGACTTTATATTTACATTTTAAAAATTAAAAAACAACAATGAAATAAGTCTAAAATTAATTTCGTACCGTTTTTTTAACTTTTTCGCTCGGGTATCTTTCTGCCATCTTGATATACTTATTTCTAACTCAGACGCTTTTTTATCATTTCTAACTCAGACGTTCTCAAGCAAATTAGTATGAACGGAAGCAATTTGTATTTTATATCACAGCACGATTAGTTTTTGATATCATAATGATATCTCTAAAATTTGCTATTTGAATATAAATAGAGAAAACCATAACACCTACAGTTCCTTGTAAATATTATATAATAAAATAAGTAAATATTAGATAATAAATGTAAATATTAAGATAATAAAATAAGTTTTATAAATATAAGATAATAATATTAGATAATCCTTGTAAGTATTAGATAATAAAATAAGTTAACTTGGTAAAGTGTCGATATAGCTATGATATCATAATGATATCATAGTTCTTTTTTAAAATATTTTTAAATAACTACTTTTAACTCAGACGTTTTTTCATTATTTCTATCTCTTTCTTTAGATTTTTCCGCAAATTAGTATATACGGAAGCAATTTGTATTTTATATCACAGCATGATAACTTTTTGACATCGTAATGATATCATTAAATGATTTTAAAATTCAAACATGCTACTTGAACATAGTAAGAGAAAACCATAACGCCTACGGTTCCTTAAAGCTGTTATATAAAATTAGATAATAAAATAAGTTAACTTGGGAATATTATGATATCGCTTTGATATCATAATGATGCCATTATTTGATATCATAACTTGAGAAAGTTTTGATACCATTCTGATCTTGCTTGTAGACTGGGAGAGACAAACTTAATGTTTATGGTGCTTTATAACTAATATATAAAATTCCAATATAAATTAAGTCAGCTAACTAAAGTTGTGATATCACTATGTTATTATAATGATATCATTATTTGATATCATAACTTGAGAAAATTTTGATAACACTCTGATATCTAAAAGATCTCACTTCTGGACTGGGAGAGAAAACCTTAATGTAAAAAACTAATATAAAAAACTCCAATATAAATTAAGCTAATCCTACTAAAGTTGTGATATCATTATGTTATCATAATGATATCATTATTTGATATCATAACTTGAGAAAGTTTTGATAACATTCTGATATCCAATTGATCTCCTTTCTAGACTGGGAGAGAAAACCCGTTTTTTTACGTTGCTTTATAACTAAAATACAAAACGCCAATATAAAATAAGTTAATCAACGAAAGTTGCGATATCATTATGTTATCATAATGATATCATTATTTAATATCATAACTTGAGAAAGTTTTGATATCATTCTGATATCAAATTGATGTCGCTTCGTGACTGGGAAGGGCCAAGTCTAATCTTTAAAAGGCCTATTAGGAACAAACCTACTGAATTCCACACTACCCAAGACATAACTAATATTCCAATAAAATGAAAATGAAATCATCTTGTGATTTCATTTTTATTGGAATATTATTTAGTGAGCTTTCACTATTATGATGATTATCTGCCATTCTTGCAAAAAAACTATTTGTTCTAAGAACTGCATCTGTTTTAGGAAAAGCTACGCTACCAACATAGACATCACCCTGTTCACATTATTTACATCCATAATAACTGCTTTTACCTTTTTAACAAAAAATATTTAGCAAAAGCTATAATAGGGGTGCCACAAACAAGACCAGAAATTTTTATTTTGTAGGGTATATGGTTACTAACAATGTCATTAAGCTGATGTTCTTCAATTCTTTTACAAAGTCTTCTAAAAGTTTATTAAAATCAGCTGACTTTCTATTTCCGTGTATAAATTCAATGACAAATTGTTTTTTCTTTGCTAAAGTTTAATAAACTTATCTGTTAGTCCAAGAAAAAAAACGAAAGCTGTGTATGAATGCTTTTAAAAAATGGGAACCCATCTGTATTTTGTCCTGAAAAGAATTTTTTGAAATTATATCTTCATCATCACTACACAAAATTGGCAAATTATCAATCTCACGCTTGATACCAAAATAACAGAAACCTTTATAAACTTCAAGCATAGCAACTTTTGTTCTCCTTGATATTTTGGACTTTTTGATAAACCGCAAACTCACTCATCTCACAATACAATTTAAATCACTGATTGCTTGTTGTTTAATATAATGTTGAGAAGACCAAAGAGCTAAGTTATCCTCAAGTTCATCTATTCAAATTCTGATGTGCGAGCTAAATCAATTAACTTGTTAGATCCCTATGTCTTCAATTAAGGCCAGTAGGGGAATATTTTTTTCCTGATTTAAAAATAGGGGGATATTTTATTTATTTTCATTGGCAGCACTGGTGACATACCCCTGATGTAATATACGAGATTAGAGATCATTCTAACTCAATCCCAGATACAATTGGTTCATTAGTTGAAAGAAATTTATCAGAGTATGCTGCAGGATTGTGTTTACCAGCTAGAAAATGACTTTCTTCAAAGTAAGTAACTCGATACTCTATTTTCATATTCTGCAGTTTTGTACTAATACTCTGTTGTATTTTTTTACCTTATTTTTAATTTTTTACAAAATAATTATGCTTTTACCTTTTTAACAAAAGTCTGTGTCCTATTTGAGGACACTGTGTCTTATAATGTCTGCGTCCTATAATGAGGACACTGGTACTACAATTTGTAAAATATAATAAATTACATCTTATTTTGTTAGTATTTTTCATTTTTATTTCAGGCTTTGATATGTCTGTGAAAAGTAATAGAGTTTTCATAACATTGAAAGAAGCAACAAGTTATTTGTTTTCTAAGGAATGTGAATCAGATATTCTTGCTCTTCCACCAGACATAGATGAACTTACGGACATCGAAAAGTTTGATGATGAATGCACTGAAGCCCCAGATCTAATTGATGTTCCAAAGCAACTTGATATTCAAATACATTATCAGACTGAATGAAATACATTATCAGACTAAATGAATGAAATACATTATCAGACTGAATGAAATACATTATCAGACTAAATGAAAGTGGGTCAATTGAAATAGCAAAAAAAAACTCAAAGAAATACAATCACTATTGGCTAGATTCAAATCTTCAGTACAGTAGTTTCACTAATAGTTCTGCGCAAAACTTTCTAGAGAATTTCAAAAGCAAAATAACTAATTTTTCAGTTCTTGAATATTTGAATATTTTTATTCAAATGATGTTTATAGTTTGATTGTTGAAGAAACGAGGAAAAAATCTGAATATAAACATAAACATTCATGTTTCAATTGAAGGTATTTTGATACCATCAATTGATACATGGATTTTGTTTGGATTTCTGATTTTATCTGGCTACCATACGTTACCAAGTCAGAAAAATTTTTGGTCGGAAGATAAAGATCTAGGTGTGAAAATAGTTAAAAATCATTAAGTAAAAATAAATATTAGGATAGATCATGGAAAAATTATGTCTTTGGATAGTGATTTTTTGTTGTTCCTGAATAATATGACGTAGATTGGAAAAAAATAATTCAATTAGTATGCAAATAAAGATAATTATACATATTATAAATTATACAAATTTATAATGATTTTTTCACACCTTAAAATATCTTATAAATATTCTCCCCACGTCTCATTAACGAGGATAGGCTAAAAATATACTAATACAACAATATTTAATAAGATAAATATATTATTTAGTTAATGTGACTCAAAACAGTAAGAAATATCTGAATTAAAATATAAGTATATTTTTTAAATAAATTGGGACTTAATAGGTTAATTGAAACACACGCAATTAGCTAAAGCTAGCTCGCCAACACTTGCTCAATACTGTGCTGTTTTCCAGGTTAGCATATTTTCAATTAAAGTTATAAAGTGAACTAATTTTATAAACTCAATCATTTAGCTAATTATACATTTCAAATAAAGTTTATCAGCATTAAAGTTGAATCTAATAAACAGCAATATTTTAGAGGTCTTTTATTAGTTTTGAGTAACCATTTTAAAATATTATTTAAAAAATGGAATAATTACAAAAGGAAACAAATATTTTTAATGTGATTTTTGTCATGTAAATATACGTACAATACATAAAGCATAATTATACAAACATAAAACTTTAGTTAATTTATATACAGAAACTATTTTGTTGCTATTTCCAGTAAAAAATATGTACAACTTTATTTTTCTAATATTTGAATATATGCATATTGTAAAAAAAAGTCGCTGAACTCTGAAAGCATTTTATTCAGCAAATCCCCACAGAGCTACTTTATTACATAAAATATAACTACATTTGTATTTACATTCTATATTGTAGCTGAATGTTTAACATTTTTTAACACAAAATTTAATAATTTGGAAATGTTGTAACAAAGTTTGAAAAAATTGTTAAAAAAAACTAAACAATATATTAATAATTTCAGGTGGGGCTGGAATGACAGTACTTGATATTGGCATTATGTTGTTTGTCTCTAGTATTTTAGTTTTAATTGCACCACTTGGTACTTCAAAGGTTTGCTTGATTTATATTATTAATTAGAAATATATATTACTAATAGGGACATTATTTTTATTTAACATATTAACGTTTTATTTATTTTTAGTGTAAAAGTTTAGCTCATATAAAGTAAGAGCAATATAATCCGAAAATATCTCAATAATTTTATGCAAAATATATATATATATATATATATATATATATATATATATATATATATATATATATATATATATATATATATATATATATATATATATATATATATGTATATATATATA